TCAATAACTTTCAGGGGCAATAACTCATAAAAGGGTCGACGAATACTTTCGCAATGAAAAGATTGAAGAGTCCCCTCAATTAGTCAAAGACATCGGTGAAGGTTCCATACCTCTACGGTTTACGGTTCCGAAGGAGTAGCGATAACAAGCTTTTATTGCCAAAGGGGTAATAACTCTTTGAGGGGTCAAAGTTCATACATGCAGGGTCAACTGCAAAAAATCTTTTACGGAGTACATTCTTATGAACTATAAATCTTTTCAATAGATCTTGAAACTCAAAATCACACGGTGGAAAAATAATAAAAAATAACTAGTAAACTAATTGTTCTCGAACAATTAGAGATCTTTCCACCATTTTTAAATTTCAAATATTTTTTTATATTTTACTCTCTAAATTTAATTTTTATACAAAAAGAATCCATAAATGGCTTGAAAGATAGAAAAAATAAAAATTTTAAAAATTTTGAAATGACCTTGACCTTTGACCTTGAACAAATATTCAAGGTCAAAGGCCAAGGGTCACATTGCACTTGATCCCATGGTTCTACGACCTTTCGTTTTAAAGTTATAAGGTTTAATAGTAAGCGCAAATAGGTTAAAGGGTGATAACTCATATAAGGGGTCATCGGATACTTTCGTACTGAAAAGATTAAAGTTGTGTCTAAAGACCCTGAAGACATCAGTGAAGGTTTTGTGCCTCTACGGTTTACGGTTTCAGAGGAGTAGCGATAACAAGGTTTTCAGTAAAAGGGGCAATAACTTTTAAAGGGGTAAATTTTAGGGACAAGTATGAAATCTTTGAAATAGTTTTAAGAGGACATATTAATGATGCAAAGGTATTTAGTATATGTTGAAAGACAAAAGAGATATAGAAAGAGCTTAATTTCTCATATTTTGAATGACCTTGACCTTTGCATATATTTTAAGGTCAAAGGTCAATGAATCTTATGCAGTTGGTCCCATGTCTCTACGACTTATCATTTTGAAAATTTTTAATTATTCGTAAACATCAAAAACTTTCAGGGGCAATAACTCATAAAAGGGGTCGACGAATACTTTCGCAATGAAAAGATTGAAGAGTCCCCTCAATTAGTCGAAGACATTGGTGAAGGTTCTGTACCTCTACGGTTTACGGTTTTGAAGGAGTAGCGATAACAAGGTTTTATTGCGAAAGGGGTTGTAACTCCTTAAGAGGTCAAAGTTCATATATGCAGGGTCAACTGCAAAAATCTTTTACGAAGTACATTCTTATGGACCATAAATCTTTTTGATAACTTTTGAAACAAAAAACCATTCGGCGGAAAAATAATAAAAATAATAATAATAATAATAACTAGTAGACTAATTGTTCTCGAACAATTAGAGGTCTTTCCACCTTCTTTATATTTCATATATTTTTCATATTTTACTCTCTGAAGTTAATTTTTTATACAAAAAGAATCCATAAATGGCCTGAAAGATAGAAAAAATGGTAATTTTTTAAAAAAAATTGAAATGACCTTGACCTTTGACCTTGAACAAATATCAAGGTCAAAGGTCAAGGGTCACATTGCACTTGATCCCATGGTTCTACGACTTTTAGTTTTAAAGTTATAAGGTTTAATAGTAACCGCAAAGACGTTAAAGGGCGGTAACTCATATAAGGGGTCATCGGATACTTTCGCACTGAATAGATTGAAGTTGTGGCTAAAGACCCTGAAGACATTAGTGAAGGTTTTGTGCCTCTACGGTTTACAGTTTCGGAGGAGTAGCGATAACAAGGTTTTTCAGTAAAAGGGGCAATAACTTTTAAAGGGGTAAATTTTAGGGGACAAGTATGAAATCTTTGAAATAGTTTTAAGAGGACATTTTAATGATTCAAACATATTTAGTATATGTTGAAAGACAAAAGAGATATAAAAAGAGCTTAATTTCTCATATTTCGAATGACCTTGACCTTTGACCTTTGCATATATTTTAAGGTCTGAGGTCAATGAATCTTATGCAATGGTCCCATGTCTTTACGACTTATTGTTTTAAAAATTTTAAATTATTTCTAAAAATCAAAAACTTGGAGGGGCAATAACTCCTTGAAGGGGTTGACGAATACTTTCGCAATGAATAGATTGAAGAGTCCCCTAAATTAGTCGAGGACATTGGTGAAGGTTTCGTATCTCTATGGTTTACGGTTTCAAAGAAGTAGCGATAACAAGCTTTTATTGCGAAAGGGGATGTAACTCCTCGAGGGGTCAAAGTTCATATACGCAGGGTCAACTGCAAAAATCTTTTACGGAGTTCATTCTCATAGACTATAAATCTTTTCGATAAATCTTGAAACTCAAAATCTTGCGGCGGAAAAATAAGAAGAATAATAAGAAACAGAAGAAAACCAATAGGTCTTTCCACAGAAAGGTGGAAAGACCTAATAATAAACAGAACAATTTCAATAGGTCTTTCCACAGAAAGGTGGAAAGACATAATAATAAAAACTAGTAGACTAATTGTTCTCGAACAATTAGAGGTCTTTCCACCTTCTTTGAATTTCATATATTTTTCATATTTTACTCTCTAAAGTTAATTTTTATACAAAAAGAATCCATAAATGGCTTGAAAGATAGAAAAAATGAAAATTTCAAAAATTTGAAATGACCTTGACCTTTAACCTCGAAAAAAATATTCAAGGTCAAAGGTAACGAGTCACATTGCACTTGACCCCATGCTTCTACGACTTTTAGTTTTAAAGTTATAAGGTTTAATAGTAAGCGCAAAGACGTTAAAGGGCAATAACTCATATAAGGGGTCATCAGATACTTTCGCACTGAATAGATTGAAGTTGTGTCTACAGACCCTGAAGACATTAGTGAAGGTTTTGTGTCTCTATAGTTTACGGTTTTGGAGGAGTAGCGATAACAAAGTTTTCAGAAAAAGGGGCAATAACTTTTAAAAGAGCAAATCTTAGGGGACAAGTATGAAATCTTTGAAATAGTTTTAAGAGGACATATTAATGATGCAAAGATATTTAGTATATGTTGAAAGACAAAAGAGATATAAAAAGAGCTTAATTTCTCATATTTTAAATGATCTTGACCTTTGACCTTTGCAGATATTTTAAGGTCAAAGGTCAATGAATCTTATGCAGTTGGTCTCATGTCTCTACGACTCATCGGTTTGAAAAATTTTAATTATTCGTAAACATCAAAAACTTTCAGGGGCAATAACTCATAAAAGGGGTTGAGGAATACTTTCGCAATGAAAAGATTGAAGAGTCCCCTCAGTTAGTCGAAGACATCGGTGAAGGTTCCGTACCTCTATGGTTTACGGTTCTGAAGGAGTAGCGATAACAAGCTTTTATTGCGAAAGGGGTAATAACTCTTTGAGGGGTCAAAGTTCATATTCGCAGGGTCAACTGCAAAAATCTTTTACGGAGTACATTCTTATGAACTATAAATCTTTTCGATAGATCTTGAAACTCAAAATCACACGGCGGAAAAATAATAAAAAAATAATAATAATAAAAACTAGTAGACTAATTGTTCTCGAACAATTAGAGGTCTTTCCACCTTCTTTAAATTTCCTATATTCTTCACATGTAACTCTCTACTGTTTATTTTATACAAAAGAAACCAGAAATGGCTTGAGAGATGGAAAAAATGAAAATTTTAAAAATTTTGAAATGACCTTGACAATTGGCCTTGAAAAAATATTCAAGATCAAAGGTCAGGGGTCACATTGCAATTAACCCCATGCTTGTACGACTTTTAGTTTTAAAGTTATAAGGCTTACTAGTAAGCGCAAAGACGTTAAAGGGCGATAACTCATATAAGGGGTCACCGGATACTTTCGCACTGAATAGATTGAAGTTGTGTCTAAAGACCCTGAATACATTAGTGAAGGTTTTGTGTCTCTGGGGTTTATGGTTTCAGAGGAGTAGCGATAACAAGGTTTTTCACACAAGGAGCAATAACTTTTAAAAGGGTCAAACTTAGGGGACAAGAATGAAATATTGTAAATAGTTTTAAGAGTACATATTAATTATGTAACAATAGATAATAAATCTTTAAGGACAAAAGAGCTAGAGAAGGAAATATATTTTTCATAAATGGAATGACCTTGACCTTTGACCTTCATATAAATTTCAAGGTCAAAGGTCAAAAAATCTAATGCAGTTGCTACCATGTCTCTACGACTTATCGTTTTGAAATTTTTTGATTATTTGTAAACTTCAAAAACCTTCAGGGGCAATAAGCCATTGAAGGGGTCAACGAATAGTTTCGCAATGAAAAGATTGAAGAGTCCTCTCAATTAATCGAAGACATTGGTGAAGGTTCCGTACCTCTACGGTTTAAGGTTTCAAAGGAGTAGCGATAACAAGCTTTACGGTGAAAGGGGTGATAACTGCGTAAAGGGTCAAAGTTCAAACATGGGGGGTCGTTTTTCGGAATAACTTTTAATATCCAGTATTATGAATTATAAAGTTTTTCGATAAGTCTTGCGGTTTCAAAACATAAGGTGAGAAATAGAATAATAAAAAACATAAGCATTTCAAGAGGTCTTTCCACAGAAAGGTGGAAAGACCTAATAAGAAACAGAAGAAAATCAATAGGTCTTTCCACAGAAAGTTGGAAAGACCTAATAAGAAACAGAAGAAAATCAATAGGTCTTTCCACAGAAAGATGGAAAGACCTAATAATAATAAACAGAAGCATTTCAAGAGGTCTTTCCACAGAAAGGTGGAAAGACCTAATAAGAAACAGAAGAAAACCAATAGGTCTTTCCACAGAAAGGTGGAAAGACCTAAAAATCGTATATATGCAATACTCTAAGGGTTTTGTTGTTCATTAAGAAAATAAGTTTATGAAATACATCGTGCAGCATGGATCGGGTTAACTCTGAGGATTCCACTAACATATCAACATTTTCTCGTTCAAAAAAAAAATATATGCACATAAATAAGATTTGTAACAATGCTCGAATTATTTTTCAACGTTTATGATGTGCGTTAGAGCGTTCTCTATGTGACTATGCCTAATGTCCAAAATTCTGGGTTTATAGAAGGCATCCAGCAACCAGATCAGTAGGCGAGGGCTGCTTTGTTTGTTAAATACTTACCGGTATTTATTTGCTGTTCATTTAAAATATCATCTGAGTTCTGTATCTCTGTGCATCCAAATACTTTTACAGAGGAAAACTGAGTAGAGTCATATCATTTTGATGATAGAGCTGAAGTGCATAATTTGCCGGCTAAAAAGAGGCATGCTTTTTAGCTATAAAATGTATACAGCTTTATTTTTATTTTTATTGGCGTTCTTCCTTCCTTTTACTATTAAGAGAACGCTATTTTTACTTTGATACTGTAACTATGATTGGTTTTCCTTCAATCATACATACACTTTTTAATAACATTGCTGTGTCTGTTCCAAAAAATATTACTTTCCTATTTAACAGGCACGGATACTATACTAAAGGTATGTGTATGCATTAAGCAAAAATGTGTTTCGCTTTTTGTTTAAATCATTGATTATCAATCATACCTTAACGGCTCATTTAAATGGTTTTGTCAACGATTTTACTCTGGATACTCAACAGGAATTAATGATTTATGAGGGTGTTTTATTGTGTTTTACATTACAGGCAGTAGAATGAACAGTACTTTTGGTTTTGATCCTACCTTCAGAACGTCAAGGTTGGAAACAATTTTTCTATCCTCAAAAGAGAGCAATTCATCTCAAGAAAAATTAAGTCCGTTCTTCCAAATAACCACGAGCTATCCTATCTTTACTTATACAAAAAGATTGCCACAGATTTCTTTGACTTGTAACGAAAGCTATTTGACACCAATCGTTTACACAGAGTTAGACGCATTGAGCGATGATCGAGCCATGACGTACATGCCTGTCATACTGTTTCTGATTCTAGTGATGCTCTTTGGAGTTTTAGGTAATCTGCTCGTACTCTATATATATTGTTCTGATTCCAAACGAAAACCAGCCAACAACTTCATTATCACGATGGCGCTGTTTGACTTCTTGGCCTCAAGTATAGCAATACCTCTTGATATCTACGACATGCGTTACCATTACACCTTCTACAATCGTTTTGCATGTAAAGCCTTCCGATACTCCGAATCAGCATTCACTAATGCCTCGTCGTTTGTTTTAATTCTCATCGCCATTGATAGATATCTGAAGATTTGTAAGCCTTTCTTATATGATTCGCCCCTGAGGAGCAAGCTTATGTGTTGTGGTGCGACTTTGTTTGGTTTTGTCATAGCCATTCCATCCTTTTGGGTGTTTGGAATAAATCGAAAGCCGGTTCTTCTAAGGAAATATTGTGGATTCGACTGCACTGTCTCAGATGAATACAAGAAGACAAAGTTGACGAAAGTCTACTATGCTTTATTGTTCTGTTTATTTTTCCTGACTGTCTCAATGCTTGTTGGATTCTACCTACGTATCTGGATTGCACTGAGGGCCAGAAGAAGGATCACAACTAAAGATCATAAAACATTACAACATTCGCCGAATAACAGTGGTCCTGCAAAAGATTTTTATTTGACCTCCATGAAAACAAATGGAAATGACTTAAGTTCACACAATAAAGATTCAATATTTTCAAACGGAATCAGAAACGGTAATTTCAATCGTACATATTCCTGTGTGTCACGGAATTCCCGAATGTCTGTCATTGGATCCAGAATCACATCTACGATTGGAAATGTTCGTTGCTCGAGGTCGACTAAAATCTTCATTGCTGTGTCTATTGCTTTTATCCTTTGCTTTCTACCGAGTATTGCAGTTAATCTGCTTCAAGTGTTCATGAGAAATACCCAGATGAAAAAGACAAAAGAGATAAAAATAATTATAAAACTTTTCGCCAGGGTTCATTTCGTCAATCACGCAATAAACCCAGTAATATATAGCTTTCTGAATATCAAGTTTCGGATTCAGTGCAAGATGGCATTCAGACGCCTGATTACAGCCCGCTACGTGAAATTCTGTACAGGAAAGTCCCCTATTGCTTCAAGTTCTTCAAATAGTGTATTAAGAAAAAGAACATCTACAGACAGCAACTGAATACAAACGAAAGGAAGCCTAAAACACACATACAGGCAGTTATATTTTTAATTTAAAGACACAGATTTATTATGTTATTAAAAGTCACATTATAGGTCCAGTTATACACATGCAGCCAGCTACAAGAAATTTTGTACAAGGAAACCCCAAATTTCTTCACGTTCTTTATATAGTTCATAAAAAAGAGACCAACGACAGACAGGTACGTGAAGACAGCCGGAAGGGAAGTCTAACAAAGCACATATAGACAATGGTTTATTTTATTTTATATATTTAAAGAAACAAATTGATTGATTGTTTTTTATTTTACGTCCCATTCGAGAATCTGTCACTAATATAGAGACGTCACCCTTTACCGGTGAAGGGCTTCAAATTCAGACTTCTACTCGGCACTGAGGACCATCGAGCTGTGAGGGATCTTTATCGTGCCAACTCCTGCTGTGACACGGGTCATTGGATTTTAAGTCTCATCCGAAGGACTCGGAACTTTCACAGAACACATAGTGTTTGGTAGATTAGAAGTAGTGCTATTTTTGATTTCTTTGTTTCCTTTGTTTTTGTGACTTCTTAACTTTCTTCTTTGTCCTGAGAAAGGAACAGGGCGTTCCGAAAATTCTACATTTTATTGTTCGTGTCGTTGGTCACTTTTAGTGCTTTACATAAATTTCCTTCTACTACTACTACTTGAAAATATTTAATTTGAATTAAATATGGACTGGTACTGGCAACATATAACATGTATTTCCCTTTCATATTTGTATCTATAAAAGTGATGGGCAATCAGCAAACAGAATCAAATTTGAAATACAAAATATGTTTATCGCTGCAGTTTTGAAAGCTTATCATTTTTGGAATTCGAAACACTTAAAAACTGAATAAGTGTGGCTTATCATATAAAAATAGTTTCCGACCATATAAGTCCATATCCGACCATATCAAAATGATAAATATCAACATCCATTTTATTTTAATTTCAAACACTGCATTTTATCTTCCATAAGAAGTAAACAGCATGATAGATCCATGCACTTTTATATCTATACAGTAACCTATTGATAGTACTATTGAAGTAATAGACAAATAACTACATTATCAAATAATTTTCCATATTATAATTAAATGTTAGTATGAGGGTTAATCCAAAAGTAATGTCACTCTAGTGCTATAATATCTAAAATAATCTAAAAGCAGCCATATCAAGCTCTAGTGCTATAATATCTTAAATAATCTAAAAGCAGCCATATCAAGCTCTAGTGCTATAATATCTTAAATAATCTAAAAGCAGCCATATCAAGCTCTAGTGCTATAATATCTAAAATAATCTAAAAGCAGCCATATCAAGCTCTAGTGCTATAATATCTTAAATAATCTAAAAGCAGCCATATCAAGCTCTAGTGCTATAATATCTAAAATAATCTAAAAGCAGCCATATCAAGCTCTAGTGCTATAATATCTAAAATAATCTGAAAGCAGTCATATCAAGCTCTAGTGCTATAATATCTTAAATAGTCTAAAAGCAGCCATATCAAGCTCAAACATATTTATCTCCAATTAACAATTATCAACTCACGCATACATTTTTGTTGCTATTTTATATGGAATGTAACGATTTCTCATTTGTACTTTTTTTAATGTGAAGCAAAAACTCAATTATATACATGTGAAGTTTTAGTGTGCCTGTGTGTGTAAGTGTCTGTGTGCAATAAAATAATCTGATATTCTAAAGATTGGCAAAATATATGGCTGTTCATGATAAAGTAATTAAAAAGCATTTATTTGTCAATTAAAGCTATATATGGCGTATCTGAAATTAAAAAATAAAAATACTAGATTGAGTGTAGATAAACATGATATTTATTACTTACGTTCAAATCAAAATTTTCACCAATTTTGAACTCGAATAACCCCACTTTTCTATAGTTAAATTGACTTTAAACTGTGTCTGATATTTGAATGCGGAGTCGGTAAATGAATCGGTTATTGTTTTAAATTTTTAATATCTATCAAACGCAATTGTTTTAAATTGTGTTATTTACGGGAAAGTCATATCTTTATATAAAGTAAAAAAACAAACAGAAAGATCTTTTTTATTTTAGTTAGTATGAACTTATCAAAAATACGCCATATATGACTTAAAAAATATGGTCACGTTCTTTTAAAACGGAAATGATCACTCTCTCACTATATAAGCTTGTCTAATGGAAGGAGAGAAGCACATTGACATACTTTCTACACCCCAGGAAACAATTTTCTCATCGGCTTAAACAAGTTTAATAGCACAAGGTATGGAAATGTATTTGTATATATGTGCATCAGGTTGCATTTCTTACCAAAGATTGTTCCATATCTTAATTTAATTAAAAATAATAATTGAAGCAAAGAAGCATGCTTAAGAATCGTTTCATATTATGAAGAAATAAAATATAAAAATAAGCATAATTTATCATTTATAAATTCTTAAAATTATCATTCTATGGTATTGATAATTTATGTTATCTTTCAAACAGGAAATACAATGAATACTTCTGAAAGTACCTTTCGCCTAAGTATCACGCTTATGGAATCTTCTTTGCCAAATGGAGAGGATTCGACTAAATATATTACAACGTTTTCCATCATCAAAAACATTTCCAATTTTTCGAACTTTACAAAAATCCCCATTAAGGAATCTGTCAAAAGATCTTGTAACGATAGCTATTTGACACCTACCACCTACCTAGAGTTAGATGCTCTCAGTGATGATCGTGCCATGACTTACATGCCTGTCATATTCTTTCTGATAATAGTTATGCTGTTCGGAATTTTTGGAAACCTGCTTGTACTCTACATATATTGCTCCGACTCCAAACGAAAACCCGCCAACAATTTCATCATCACGATGGCGCTGTTTGACTTCTTGGCTTCCGGTATAGCCATTCCTCTCGATATCTACGACATGCGTTACCATTACACCTTCTACAATCGCATAGCATGTAAAGTTTTTCGATATTCTGAATCAGCATTTACCAACGCTTCGTCTTTTATTTTAATCCTTATCGCTATTGACAGATATCTTAAAATCTGCAAGCCTTTGATGTTCGAGACTCCTTTGAGGAGCAAGCTCATGTGTGTCGGGGCTACTTTGTTTGGTTTCTTCATTGCTATTCCGGCGTTTTGGTTGTTTGGAATAAATCGAAAGGTACTTTATTTTAGAAAGTACTGTGGATTCGACTGTACTGTTTCGGATAAATACAGAAATACAAGATTTAACAAGATATACTATACACTATTACTCGGCTTATTTTTCCTGACTGTGGTCATGCTTATCGGTTTCTATGTCCGTATCTGGATTGCAATCAAGACAAGAAGAAATAGCGTGATAGGTGATCATGCATCTATAAGTCATTCATCAGTTAAAAGCAATGATTCTAAAGAATCCGGTCAAAGCTTCATGAAAAGAAAGAGAAATCAATCTTGCACGAGCGACGACGATTCAGTGTTTGACAGCAAACAAGTTCTTAATCGTCAGCAGTCTTGCGCTTCGCGAAAATCTCGAGTCGCCAGGATGGGGTCTAGCGTCTCAACGATGATTGGAAACGTTCGTTGCTCGCGATCAACAAAAATCTTCATTGCAGTATCGGCAGCATATATTCTCTGCTTCCTACCCAGTATCACTGTTAACCTTCTTCAAGCTAGTGTCAAAAGCATTCAAATGACAAAATCAGTTACCATCAAGGTTACTATAAAGTTCCTCGCTCGGGTTCATTTTGTAAATCATGCCATAAACCCACTAATATATAGCTTTCTAAACGTAAATTTCCGTGTACAGTGCAAGAAAGTATTTAAACGCATGACTGCTGCCTGCACCGAGAAACTGTTTAAAAGATCGGCTTCAATTACTTCCCGGTCTTCAAGAAATGGATCAAGAAAGACTCCGAAGACTGAGAGTGACGTGAAAACGAATGAAGAAGAAATGGAACATTTGAATAAATCTCAAGTTGAAACAAAGAACCTATAAATCATAATGTATTTATTTTGTTTTGTTTTTTTATTGTTTGCATTTAACACTGTATTGATAAGAAAATAAAGTTTAATGAATTCTAAGACATGATGATGCTCTAAAAACACAGTGAGAAACACTTCTGGTACACTGCAAGTCAGTAAGCATTCAGCTCTGATTTGGTTTTGCTTCCTCAATGTTTGTCATTTACTTGCTATTTTCATGTAGTTGTAAGTAGGCAATGGAGAGCTAAGAGTCCATAGCTTGTTAACAATAATTAATCAGAAAATCACAGCTTAAATACTACTCATCTTAAAAAACGTTTGGTTTGAACTAACATATTTGTAGTAATCTTAAGCATTATAGACACGTTGTTCCTGTTCGGTGTTTACGCACAGTAAGATAGTCCAAAATAACATTTATTAACATACATCTAAATTATTTTTTTAAAAAAAAAGATCCCATTTACACCTTTGTACACTTACACCTTTGTATACGCTCTTTATATCATTTTCCTAAACTATTTACCTGTGTAAGAATAACTCGAAATATATAAAATTAAAATGTATGTTATATAGATAATGCTCATGATCGCTCGAGTAACTGTTTAACATGAAGTTGCGGTTTTTTTCATAATTTACAACGTGTTTTCATCTCCAAAAAGAACGGAGAGTTATAGCAAATTTCTGGGATGGTTTATTTTCATCAAATCGTTGAATTCAAGAAATGCAGTAGATTAGATGGATAAATCCGAAACATTTGGCAAATGTTACCATTTGCTCACACAACCAGAACGGACCACTTTGATTATTGCAGCTTCTTGTAAATTTTCCTACCATGCGTTCGGTTCTGCACAACTTTGTGCTGTTTCTAACGTTTAAATGAGTTTAACGTTATAAAGAGGGCAATTAGTTTGTTGTCATACAAAACAGAGTACGTACACTGATAGTATTGACGTTTACATCGTGTGCCAGCTAGCGTTAGTTATTCTTTGTACGTCATTTAGAGTCAATTCTATGGTCAATTGGTTTTGCGTCGGTGATCGTTTGTTTTGTGTCTGTTGATATTGTTTTAAGTTAGTCTGTTTTGTTTTTAAGTTAGTCTGTTTTGTACTTCAGTATGATTTTAAGATATGCTTAAACTTTAAACATTAGTTAGAAGTTGGTGGTCTGTATTTCTAGTTCATCAAAAACCCATTTTCTTCAATACTCAGTTTCGCCACAATGACGCATTGGGTAGGGCGTTTCGTTTTCGAGTTGCAGAGTGTGAAGTTGAGCATTATGTCATTGGTTCGATTCATGCTGAGGGACATGGAGATAGTTGTTGTATAGTAGCATTTCCCACGGAATGCTGCTATATAGAAGTACCCCCTCCAACCGCGGTAATCGAAGTACACTCTGAATATATAGACGGACTATATTCCCCTTTTGTAGCCAAATTGCCCTCAGAGAAAACCTACCATATAGTAGATCCTCCTTCGTTTCATTCCGGATACGTTTATTACGGAACATTCTTTCCAGTAACAAAAATATTTCAAAAAACGCAATAATTGTGCCTGTAACAGTTCAACTATTACTTTTATCAATGGGATTCAGTTTGAAATCCAACAATGTGAAGGATTTAGTGATGTAATCTTGCGCTCAGTGTCATGCATTACTAAAATATCATAATCATTACGAAGTTTTCTTTTTTAAAAACAAACATCATTTTTTCATTACTCACAAAATCTTTACTCAGAGTTCATATCTAAATACTCAATAAACTATAAATTTAATGAAAAACCTTGAAAAAAAAATGAAATCCCCAATAATGTCCTTGTGAATTTTCTGTGTATCAATTTATTTCAAATGTTTAAGATTGCTTTCCATTCTTGACAAAAATAAGAAGCCCATACCATAGTATCTAGAATTTTTCTCGCACTCCATGCCTCATTCTTATATGACTAAAGAAAGGTGTAAAAAATCATATATTTTTTATTTCTTTTATAAATAACTGGAATGAACATTGACAAAATCCTGAAGAATTTAGGAATCCTCCCCGGCTATTATGTCCTGGATCTACTTGGGGTCTCAAGGCCACTCCAGACCTCCTGTCCTTTTAGAATTTTTTTAGCCAATCCTAGGGTGAAAATTACAGTATAACCGGTAAACCGTGGGCCCCGTGGTCTAAACCTACTATGAGAGAAACGGTATAAACATAGCTCCCCTTTTGCAAAAGGTGCACAAAAAAGATCCCTAACTTAATTGAAGAGTAGGAGTGTGAAATAATAGCTTTCCATTGACAATCGGTTAAGTACAGAAAAAAAGCTAAACTCCAAGTATTTTAATAAACGTCAGTCAAGCTATGGTCGTTATAAATATCTTGTTAGCAAATATACTGTAGAAGCACAAATTTTCGTGGGGATAAAATTTCGTTGTTTTGAAAGTAATTCTATTCAATAAATATAGTCATATAAAAATTTCATGAGGGATTTTATTTCGTTGATAATTGTTAACAACGAAATAAACGAAGTTAAATCCCCAACGAATATTTCTGCTTTTACAGTAACCTATCTTTGGGTCATATCTTGACTGACGTGTTTCATACCAGTTACTAGGTTTTTTTAAATTCCGAATTTGACTCCGGAATGTGCCATCTTCCTGATCAACACATGGGGCTCACAGTGGGTGTGACCGGTCGACAGGGGGTGCTTACTAGAGCCTACTAGGCACCAGAACCCAAGGGATAGAATTTCCGGAGGTCCGCGTTCACAGATTTGTATTGTTTAAGATTTTTTTTTGGTTCGATCGTTGTTCGCTGTCTTCACCTTTTTCATAACACAACACTTTTGAAAATAGTTGGTAAAGCAAGAAGAAAATCATATCATAAATGACAGTAGCATTTCTAGAAATAGAAATTGATCAAATTCTATTTAGTTGGTTTTGTTATCATGTGAAATATTTCTTGCTAAAAATATTAACAAAATGTTAAAAAAATCATTTCTCAAAAATTGCAATATTTGATAATATTGTAAATGTGTATCCTTGACTATATTTAATAATCTGCAGTTTTCTCCGGACCATTGTTCTATCCCAGTCAGTAATGTTCGATGAGGTCTATTTTCACATTATGAAGGTCTTGAAACTATTCATATAAACTATCAATCAAAAAACTATTCTCAAATATAGATTTTATAAGGAAATCAAAATGGTTTTTTTTTTCAAAGAAGCGAGCATGAATAAGAGATCATGCACATAAGATAGACAATTTCTTTGAAAATTTCCCTATTGTAATATATCAGAAAGAATGAAAACATTAATTCAGAAATGAAATTCGTCGAGAATATCGAACCTTTCAAACCTAGGCCTGTATTCTGTCTTTAAAAGCACATTATAGTTTTCACCATATCATCCAGAAAGTTTGTTCTAATGAATTAGCTGACGTTTCTCCGATGCAGACACTCATGTTCTTTAGAAATTAAGATACACTAATGCTGTTATCTCTACTTTATTTTCTACTAAGTAAACATAAAGTAGTCTGTGTGAATGATTACATCTACTGGACATTGCCTGCAATTCATGTTTTATTTGTCATATGTTCCTTTTCAAATTTGATTTTTTTTTTTTAAAATCCCACCTTGCATAATCAAGACAAAAATGCATACAATATGAAGATTTTAAGGTGGGCAGTTATGTTATAGCATGAAACCGATGAGCCCCTTCTTTTTGTATTGTCTGTTGGTTTTAAACACAACATATGAAAAATTCTTGATGATCTGTCGATAAGTATAATCATAATACTTCAGATAAATATTACTAATTCCTTTTCAAAAAAGAGATGATAGACGATTTCCGTTGAGCACTGTTTATCATATTCCTTTGTTTAATATTTCTTATCGATCAACAGAGTATATCCTGTGTACTCATTCAAGGAAGTGAACAAATTAAACAATCTATAATACATTTGCTTAGACTTTTGTTTCAATTTGACGATACGTTTTTGTGATAAATAGGTCGTGTAAATAATTTTTTTTTGTTACAAGATTTGAATTGATTTTTTTGATTTTATTTTCAAGTAATTTCTAGCTGCTTTTAATCTTGAAATTGATTAAACTAATTAGAATGTCTACAAATAGTTTTACTGTGCGCATGAAGATGTGTTTCCCCTAGTCCAAACAAAATGTTGCTGAAAATGTTCTAGATTTCGATTTCTCCATTGTAATATTGACATAAAAACAAATAAAGATCCTGTGTTTTTCAATTATAGTATTAGTGACAGACCAATCAGTATACATCAACAAATTAAATGTCAATAAACAAAGCGAAAACTTTGTATTATTTACACTAGACAAAATTGCTAAAGCACCACCAAAGAAAATAAATATTTAATTTTTCAAAACTCAATTAAGATGTATTTGAAATATAATTATATGTTACTTAAATAAAAAATGAGTCATTTAAATGTCTTAACTGATAAATAAGTACAATGTATACTGAAGTGTAAGCATTTCATACAAAAAAAAAAAAAAAAAAAAAAAAAAAAAAAAAAAAAAAAAAAAAAACTAAACTTGTGTCCATAGTTTTGGACGAATAAATTTTCTATTTTTTCTTTGTGTTTGTGTTCTTTATGTTTGTATTAATTTAGATCTCAGAAAAAAAGTTGCACCGTATGCGGCGATTGATCCCAGAAAATTGTTGCAACTAGATTACCAAACATAAAAATGGTTACTATAGATAGCCGTGGCATTACGTAAGCACCGCACGACAATTTCAAGATTGTTCAACAAAATTGGGGCAACCGGAGGTTGGGTGGATTTGGTATGGACACCAAGGCACTGGATGACTACATAGGCATTATGATAGTCAATGCTGCACGTTATTTGATTTTTATCCGGAGACGACTGCTTTTGTCGCAAACTAACGTACCATCTTCGGTAATCACCAACTTCATATCTGGGCAAAAAAGGTCGCAGTGTTGGTCGGGAAATTGGTTTTCGGGCACTAAGGTCATTTAAGTGTCTTGTCATGACACCAAGACATTTGTCTATCTAACTGTATTTGAAAAGATCTGGCAAATGCTCAATTCAAAAATAAGAATAACAAGTGGTGCGTTAGCAATTTTGTCTTGTGTATTTATTATAGGCTTCCCTGAATATAAGATATCTTTCTCTTATACAGTATTTATCTTCATTTTCAAGAAATCTTAAGAGAGTTGGAGATTAAAACAACACCACACAGACAAAATTTTCTGTTTTACTCTACGTAGAATATTTCCATGGATCAGCCAATGAAACTATTTTTGGCTCTTTTTTTAAAGTTTGGTTAGGAATAAATATCAAAAAGAAAGGTCATTATTACAGACCTCACAGGTTAATAGGAGTTCAGTGGGCGGTCTTTACAGTGCTGCATATCAATTTCGGAAGTAGGTTTCCTTTCAAACAGATCCAAATAAAAAAATGAGTGAAAAGAAAAGTACAATGAATTGTTGCTCTTTTTCCCTCGTCACATGAGTTTACATTTTTAAGGTATGAATTTACATTACAATACTTTCGTTTGTTTGTTTGTTTGTTGTTTAATGTCCCTCTCGAGATTCAACACTCATGTGGAGACGCCACCACTTGCCGGTGGAGAGCTACAAATTTTGCCCTATGCTCGGCACTTAGGGCCATTGAGCATTGAGGGACCTTTTTCCTGCTAGTACCTACTGCGACACGGGACCTCAGTTTATACGGTCTCATCAAAGGATCGGTCTCCACGTCCCACAGTGGGATTCGAACCCGCGACATAAGGATCCACTCCTTACTCCGCGCCTCTAGAGCAGACGCTCTACCACTGCGCCACGCAGGCGACCAATACTCTCGTAATTTCTATCAATACTTTCGTAATTTCTATCAAAATATGAACTTTAAACTGCGGAATAAACATGTTAGGGAATCTTCCATGATTTTTATTTACTTAAAAAAAATAATGAGATTAATGTTATTTTTTTTCTTATTCAATTACAGGTTTTTTCTAGATTCAATAAGACTGTTTCGAAATCCTTTGTGTCAACCAAATCAAGAATGGGCCTTTCAGTTCAAGATAGTACTTTCTCAATCATCCAAGAGATTGCAAATTCGACCGACTTAAAATATACAACTACAATACCATCATTCTTCCATTTATGTAATGATAGCTATTTGACACCATCCGCCTATCAAGAATTAGAAAGACTGAGCGAAGATCGTGCCATGATTTATATGCCTGTCATAATATTTCTGATTGTAGTGATGCTCTTTGGAATCTTCGGTAACTTACTTGTGCTTTATATATATTGCTTTGGTTTCAAACGAAAACCCGCCAACAATTTCATCATCACGATGGCGCTGTTTGACTTCTTGGCTTCCAGTATAGCTATTCCTCTTGATATCTACGACATGCGTTACCATTACACTTTTTATAATCCTATAGCATGTAAAGTTTTCCGATATTCTGAATCAGCATTCACCGATGCTTCATCGTTTATTTTGATTCTTATAGCCATTGACAGATATCTTAAAATATGTAAGCCTCTTTTGCCTGAGTCGCCCTTACGAAGCAAACTAATGTGTGCTGGATCGACCTTGTTTGGTTTCATCTTTGCTATTCCAACAGCTGTGTTGTTTGGAATCAATCGGAAACCCTTGTATCAGAGAAATGTCTGTGGATTCGATTGTACCATTTCGAATGAATTCATGAACACAAAGTTTATTAAAATACATTACGCTTTATTGCTCAGTACATTCTGGGTTACATTATTCCTGCTTGTTGGATTCTACATACGTATCTGGATTGCAATAAAAAACAGAAATAAGAATATCATTGGCGACCAGCCTTCTGTTAGCCATTCCTCAGTCAAAAGCGGCATTTCAAAGGAGCCCCAACTGAAAAGAAATGGAAGTCAATCTTGCTTAGATGTCCGGGACTCAGTCATTTCAAAAGGCGAAAACAAACAATTTCTAAATAAGCAGCTATCTTGTGCATCAGGAAAATCTCTTATGTCTAGGGTGAGTTCTAGCGTCACAAAGATGACCGGAAACGTTCGCTGCACACGGTCCACAAAAATCTTTATTGCTGTATCGATTGCATTTATTCTCTCATTTCTACCCAGTATCACCGTTAATCTTCTCCAGGGTTTCGTCAGAAGCATCAGAACGATCAACTCAAAAGAATTCAAGGTCATCATGAAACTCCTGGCCCGGGTCCATTTTCTCAATCATGCCATAAACCCACTGATATATAGCTTTCTGAACATTAATTTTAGAAGAGAGTGCATAAAAGTTTACAAGCGTCTGATTTCAAACTGCGTCAAGATGTCGTTAAAAAATAAGGGTTGTGTTTCTTCTGGAGATGGTTCAAGAAAGAAACAAACAAGCTACAGCCACGTGAAAACAAATGGAGAATGAAATATTCAAATAAATACAAGTCGAAAACTGGAAAAAAAAATACCCATTTTTAGTTTAATGAAATATTTATGTATATAAACAATGCACATTTATGTTTGTTTGGTTGTATGTTTGTTTAAGGTCACTTCCAATAATTATCACTCATATTGAGACACACTATCTGCCGGTGGAGGGCTGCAAATTTATATCTGTACTCGGCACTTCCGGCCAGATTGAGCAGTGAGGGATCTTTTTCTGCCAGCATTTTCTGCTACACTAGACCTCGGTTTATCAGTCTCATTCATAAGACCGGTCCCCATGTATTGTCGTCGGTGACAATATGTACCTACCCTCACTGCACATATTGTCGTCCATAGGTACATATTAACGTCGGCGACAATATGTATCGAGACGAGCCTTTTTTCCTCCTGTAGAATGGATGACAAAATGTAAAGCCATGCATTGGCACATATTGTCGTCGGGAAGGGTGGGGCTACAATAGGTGATCAAAATTTTACATAGGAATATATAATTTTTCAAAATCTTCTTCTCAAGTACTACTGAGCCAGAAAATTTGATGAGTACATTCAGGTTTTTTTTTAAATAAATATCCCAGGGTAGGGTGGGCCACAATGGGTGATCAATGTTTTACATATGTACAGAAAATCTTTTAAGATTCTTAAAAAAGCAAACCCATGATAAGTCATATTTATATCAAATCATCCCCAGGTACATTTAGTACTACATAGATTCAAGTTTATTCAAATCATGACCTCCGGGGATAGGATTGGCCTACAATGGACGATCAAAGTTTTACATGGGAATATACAATAAAATTCTTTAAAAATCTTCTCAAGAAGAGGAAAAAAGTAAATAGTCATATTCATATGGAAGAATTGTCGGGTATTGCCTTGCAACATGTACCGATAGACGACAATATGAGCTGTGAGGTTAGATATATACCGTCACAAATGGTTTAACCACTCGGCCACGCGGACAACATGTATATTTATGACATAACAAACTAAAAATCTGTTGTTTAACTTTTATATCAATCATCAAATGTTATAGATAATAGTTTGATTGGGAAAAAAATTTACGTTGCCATAAAATTCAGATACATACGTAACATGCGTAAGTGTGATCAGCTTAGATTATACTGAATTCTACAACAGTTATTGCCGAGATCAAAGAAATGCCGCGGATATTCTCCTATAAATCACGAACGTCATCAAAAAATTATCAGATCAGAAACACATATCAAACCTGTACAGTTGAAATGAATATTTCAATGTAGAATCTAATACTTATTTAGACCATATCGATGTGTCGTCTTCCGCAGTATAAAGAGTGTGTATTGCAAAAAACAAGTGATAAATGTCAGTTTTTATAGCTAAGTAAAAGCTATTCCATAGACCTCCCCACAACATTTACACTCCGTGATTTTACTGATAAAGCAATGAAATAGACAACTGATTTTGTTATTTAAGTTTATTTATTGTTGGTTAATATATAGCTTGCCTTATTTAAAAGTTGATCATACGTAGATCATGCTCTTGTGTATCGAATCAAAGGAGGAACATAAACCCCGTATGCAGGTGATAACGGTATATTGCTACATAAGTAAGGGAAGTTGACGATTGAAAGTTGAAGTCATCACGTTTATCATAAAGTTTTGTTGCTAGGTTACCATTAACGTATTTTTTCATAAAGTATTCAAATATGAAACAGATGTGTCAGACTCTGTGGTGTGTTTTATTTCAAGTTCACTGGGATATATCGAATCGACATATGAATGGAAGTACATGTAACTATTGTTAATTGATAATAAGTCGTCGATGTATGTAAATGTCGAGTTGAAGACCACAGCAAGCGTTTTCTTTTTCTCATGTAGAAGAAGTTTTTGAATAAATTTTGCTTCATATGAATACAAAAATAGGTCTGCTAATAACGGGGTGCAATTGGTACATGTACCCAGGGAATTCCAATAAATTGTTTGAAGACCTGATCTCCAAAAACTACATATATATTGTCAATCAGAAACTCAAGTATCTTTTTAATATCAACTTCAGAGTACTTGTATGTACAATTAGAATGTTTTTTAACAGAATAGCTTTGCAAATGACCAATGACAAGGTAAATACATTTACGAGTTCCATTTTTATTGAAAAGGCAGCTGTCTATGATGTCAAAAAACCTGGAACTTAGTTTATCGTTGGGAATGGTTTAAAGTGTTGAAAAGTCGTACATTTTGATGTTATTGATTTTGGTAGAAATTTGTGGTTTCAAAGAACTTATCTACACAACAACAACAACAAAAGACCAAAGCGTGACTCGTAATCCAGTGATGGGCATAAAGAAAAAAAAGCTTCAAAAGTAAATGTTAGGAATTCATAAAATAATAGAGTGTAAAATAAGAATGTATTTGACACAATAAATAATTATAAAGAATTTTTTCCCTCAAGGGGAAGCTTGATTTAATATGAAGATTTTGATTTCAATTGTTTTCTTACGTAAATACAATCATGTAAATAATATTACACTATCCCAGTTTAAATTACGCATATAGTATTCGCACTAGAAAACAACTAAAAAAGCTAATGATTGTTAAATTGTGTACAGAATAAAATATGTTCAACCTTTACATATGGTTAAAATACATGAACACATACTAGAAATTATTACATTATTAATAAAAAAAAAAATACAGCTCATTCCAAGCTTATGTATAAAAACGTGAAAGAAATGGCAATTTAATTGTTATTATACATTTTTTTTTTCAATTCTGGTTTAAAAACTTTTATATGAAAGAAATATGAAACAAAATTCCACTAAAATTACTTTTTCGTCCATTTAAGTCAGTTCTTTAAATCTAAGCCGAAAATAAAATTTTGATACACAAGTTTTCTTACATAATATTCTAGATTTTGAGGAGACCCTATTTTCATTATTGTGTTGTTCTCCTGACATCTGATATGTATTTTATTTAACATTGTTTTAAAAATTATAACACATAATAACTCAGTCAAAGTTTGTAAATCAATTTGAGAAAACCATATAACACAAAAATTCATAAAGTATTGACAACATCAAGTAGTAACGAAATTTTGCAATATTTTGCAATATTTATACTCCACTACTTCATTAAATAAAAAAAAAAAATAAAAAAATAAAAAAAAACCAAACATAAAAATATTTGAACTTGGCTTTTATCTTGAATTATTCCCTATTTCTGTCAAAAAACTAGCTAAAATATATGTATAGAAGATAAAACGTCTTTCATAGTTTATTGTTATTTTAAAAAAAAGCTTGGAATACTACTTGTTATAACCTGAATCATCTTTGATAATGATTTTAAGTTCTGATTTTGGTTAATAAAACTGAATGGACTGATGTTGTTTTACTTGTAGATCTATATATCAGAATCAGGTCTATTTATTATGTACACAAATCATTGCTTATAAGACCTTTTTCTCAAAATATAATATGAATGGCAGTTTTTTTTTTTTTTTTTTTCAAGTAGAGCCTTTTATCACTTTCTGCTTGTCATTAATTCTGTTTTTCAGATAATCCATTTTAACTTCCTGGATAGAAGGAACCTATCAATTAGATTAATTGTTCATCTCAAACACTGTCAAAGTATTTTTCCTGTTCAAAGTTTTCAGAAATTTCTATGACAACAATTAATTATATAGATCTTGTTTTGGCAAAGTAAGATGATGTTTTAATTTGAGGGCAGACGACTATCAAATCGGAAGATTTTTTTAAATATGTGTTCATATATACCTGTTCATATTTTTTTGTAAATATTAATGTATAAAATCTCTGTGTGTTCCGATGTTATTGTTCAATTATCAAAAGAACATGTTGCAAACTCTTTCATGAAAATTCATTTCTGATGTATTTACTAGTTACTACTGTTTGATTTATAAGAAGATAACTGCCAGGACGAATGAGTTGACAATTAAATGCATTGTGCTATACAAACTCTTAGAGGGTCATATGACACTTGAAATCTTTTTTTAAAGACAGAATCTAAAACAGCTAAAAATAATTCAGTGCTTTTGTCTCGGATTTTCTAGCAAAACTCAATGTAGAAATATATAAAGGAAAGATAATAATTTTATCAATTTTAGAGTTACTGCATGGTCTCAAAAGACTGTGTTAAGTTTCCTTAGGTAATGATTTTATGTCGTTGTGCTTTTATTCAAGTAAAGCGTTTGTGAGATTTTGCAACTGGGTACACCATTGTGTTGATGGATAAAAAAGTCACTGTGATTTTAATATTTAAGGTCTTTCTTCTTCACAGAAGGCCTTATAGTGATTCTACTGTTTCTTCTTATTATTATTTTTTCACCAAAATTTTGTGCAGGAGATTTCTCGAAAACTATTCAGTGGTTTTAAATTATACTTTCAGGATTTATGTGTCGTCAAATGAACTTTGTTCATCAGAAGAAAAATTTGGAAAACTCGCTTCCGGTTCCAAGTTATTGACAGTTTTCTGATTTTAAAATGAGATTTTGCCCCCCCCCTTTTTTTCAAAAATGGCTTAAGATATGAAATGGAGACTTGTTAGAGATGATAGATTATGACTTCTAGATGTGGGGAATCACCTTTTCGTGCGTCGTCAGTACTTCTGGTTATTACCGGATGCGAATTTAAAAAAGTCGAATTTTAAAACTTTCCTGTTTTTCTATATTTTTCTTTTATATTAGTAGGGTTAATATATAATTCATTTTAGAATTGATCAATCCAAACTCTAGATATTCGCATTTCTAAATTTGAAGCGGTAGTCCAAAATGGCGGCTGTCTCCGTAAACTCCGATGAGCAGGTCGGAGTTCACGGAGTCAGCCGAGCGTTTGTTTGAATGAAACTACCATAAGGATCAAAGAAATGTGAAGGAATTGTTGGATTGTAACGTCACAGTTACGTTGCAATTCTGTTTTGATCTAGAGTTTTAATCCGAAGTTTCCTCAAACGTCTACTATAATTGCTCTTGTCTGTATCTCAAAGTAGAAAAACGACATGACTACAAGTGGAAATACGATAACTACAACATATTGTTTTGCA